GGGCTGACGCCGAGCCGAGGCGGGCCCGCGCACCGGCCGGGCGCCCACCATGCGGCGGCTGCGGCGTCTGGCGCACCTGGTGCTCTTCTGCCCCTTCTCCAAGGGCCTGCAGGTAGGCGCGCCCCCGCCCCGGTCCCGGCCCCCTCCCGGCCTCTACACCCCCCTCCCCGGCCCCTACAACCATCCCCCGCCCTCGGTGCCCGGGCTGCGGCGGGGGCGCGCGGCGTCCAGCCCTGGGGGAATGGCCCTGGTCCGGATCAGGACTCGAGGTTACTGAGCGCTGGGGTGCGCGGGCCCCGGCGCGGCTGGGGGCTGGGAGAGGACTGTGGGGGCCGGGGTGGGGGGTGTTGATGGGGCGAGCAGAGGGTCCCGGCGCCGCGGAGGCTGCGGAGCGGCAGTCCCCGCGCTGGGGCCGAGGAAGGCCTCCATTCCCCGCGGGCAGGACCCTGCTCCCTGAGGCCCAGAAACCACACCGAGTCCATTCCCTTTTCCTCTACTTACGAGATAAGGTTTTTTGTTGTTGTTGTGGAAAACTTGAGACACATACAAAGCACTAAGAAGGACATAACCTCCCCTGGGTCATCTCCCAGCCAGTCTGAGCTTAGGGGTGTGCCCTGACCCCACTGTGACCTTGGACAAGTCACCGTCCTTGCCAGGAGCCAGTTTCTGCAGGGGAGGCCCGGGCTGCCTTGGGTGCCAGCTGTCAGGAGCCCTGTCACCTCTGCTTTGTGTGGTCCAAGCCAGGCCCGCATCCCAGTTTCAAATCCTCCAGGCCCACCCTGTGACCCGGATGCCCTCCAGGATAGCCCTGTCAGAGCCGCCCACACCTCCGTGGCCTCCCCAGGGCTCTCCTGGGGCCAGAGCAGGAGGGTCCCTGCCAGGGCCGTGCCCTTGGCTCAGAGCCTGGCTGGCCTCAGCTCCCCACCCGGGAGAAGGGTGGGAGCCAGGAAACACGCCGGTCGCATGTCTGTGCCAGACGCCCTCCCTGCCCGCCTGGGGCCTTGGGGTGCGTGGTGGTCTTGGTCAGCTCTGGGCAAGGCGGGAGCTGAGGGTCTGAGGGTCCACCCCACAGCAGGAAGCAGGGATGTGCACTGGCCCCTGTCCTGAGGGAGGGGCCTTGACCAGGCTGCTGCGGGGGAGGCCCAGAGCAGCCGGCTCCAGACCCTGGGCACCAGGCCTCTGAGCTCGGCACAGATGGGTGGTAGAATGGTTCCGGCAGATTCCCAGTGGTCTGAGCCCCGCCTCACCCCCGTCTTAGTGTTGGGACACTCTGAGCCTCAGTTTCCCCGCCTGTGAAACACCCTCCTGGGTTGGTGGTGCTTGTAGGGCATTGGCCATGGGTCGTTCACCGTTGTGCTGTTACTGTCCTGACTGACCCTCCCCATCCTCCAAGTGGCGTCTCCAGGAGCCTGGGGGGGGCGGGGCTGGGGGGGCAGCTGCAGGGCCCCCCCCCCATGAGTAAGACCCGCCCTGTCCCAGGGGCCCACCCACCAGTGGGACAGGCCCCCCTGGGAGGGGGCAGGGCAGGGTAGGGGATGGGGGTCAAGGACTGGCCCTGGAGGAGGTGCTTGCTGAGGGCGAGCACCTGGGGGTCGGGTGGAACCAGCCAGGTGAGGACGGGGTGCTGGGAGAGGGGCCGCCACGCGAAGGCCCGCAGCCCCGGGGGTCTGGCAGGGGAGCGGGCAGTGCCTGGGGTGGGCCCCGCAGGCACTGTGAAGCCCAGTCCGCCCACGCGTCCAGCACTGGCTATAGCCAGCCCTCCTCCTGCTGTCCCCCAGGAGCCCCAGCGCCGGCCTTCAGGGCCCTCTCCGAACTGAAAGCCCACCCAGAGGCCCCGCCCACCGCTCCGAACTGAAAGCCCACCCAGAGGCCCCGCCCACCGCTGCCCCGGGACGTTGTTCACCACCGGCCAAAGTCCGACCTTGTCCTGCCAGAACACCCCCTCCCTCCCCCGTCCCTCCACTTTCCTGTTGTTCACTTTGAACACATCTGACGGAAATAGGCACGGTAGCGGGGGCAAGTGGGCCTGAGGCCCAGCCCCTCACTCTGCCCTGGGCCAGTCCCGCTCTTCAGTGGCCACTGAGGCTCCGGGCCTGCCCCCGACTCTCGGGGTCCTCCGGCTGGAGCTCCTCCTGGGAGGCCAGCCTGTGAGTGGGTGCAGGGAAGCGGGAGGGGAGGCCCTGGCCCGTCCTCGGTGGGGAGCCGGTGGCCCCATTTCTCAGGGCCAGCCCTCAGCCTCCAGCTAACCAGGACCCAGGACTAACCAGGATTGCAGCTGCTGCCCGGCCCGTGGGTGGAGGGCATGTGCCAACGCTGGCAGTGGCACCTTCTCTGGGGGCAGGCTGGCCTGAAGCCCTGGCCTCCTGCTCTTCAGGCCCCTGGGGCTCAGCCACCTGGTCAGGTGTCCCAGCCCCTGTGTGGGACAGTGCATGGCAACCCCGTCCCCTCGGCTGACCACTCTGTGATTTGCCAGGGCAGGGAGTGGGGAAGGGAGGTAGTGCCCTTGGAATCTGGGCTTGGGGGCTGGATGGGAGACAGCACCCTCCAGGGCGCCAGGACCCTCATATCCTGTGATTCCACTTGTAGCTGGGGAAACCTGGCAGAGGGGCAAGCCCTCTGTAGAAGCAGTTCCCATCCTGGCCCACCCTGAACATCTGACGGGCCACCCTGGACATCTGGGACAGAGCTTCTGGCAGGGGGGCCGGGGCTGCGTCTCTTATTTATTTATTCTTTGTTGTGGTAAATCATGCGTAACATAAAATTCAACATCTTAACCACTTTTAAGTGCACAGCTCAGTGGCATTCAGCACATTCACGTTGTTGTGCAGCCGTCACCACCATCCGTCTCCAGGACTCTCTCATCTTCCCAAACTGAAGCTCCGTCCCCATGAAACACTCACCCCATCCCCTCCCCTAGCCCCGGCACCACCATCCACTTCCTGTCTCTGTGGGTTGACTCCTCTAGGGCCCCCGTATAGGTGGGATCCTACAGAATTTGTCTTTTTGTGACTGGTTTATTTCACTCGGTATGTCCTCCAGGTTCATCCACGTTGCAGTGTGTGTCAGGATTTCCTTCCTTTCTCAGGCTGCAAAACCTTCCATTGTGTGGGTAGATAACCCTTGTGTTGATCCATTCCTCCACTGATGGACACTTGGTGGTGTCCACTCTCTGGCTGCTGGGAATATGCTGCTGTGAACGCGGGTGTGCAAGGCCACATCTCTTAAAGGCTCTCAGGGCACCTGTGCCGCACAGGTCGTGCCCTCTGCACCAGCAGCCTCCGTGCCCCGTCCTCCCTGCGGGCCCTGGTCCAGCTGGAACTTTCCACCAGTTGGAGGATAGTGCACATAGGTGGTGATTCTCTAGCCTGATCTTGTACGGAGGTTAAATGTCATAAAATGAGGGTAAGACAGGAGGGAAATTTGTAAAAAATGCCTTTATTCAGCAAAATAAAGAGTTGCCTGCCCTGAATTCTCCGTTATTTTGAAATTTCACCTGCCCGTGAGATTTAAAAGTCCAGGAGCCAGCAGGCATCCGCCCCCACCCTGGGGTGGGTGTGCCGAGGGGGCAGGGAGATGTGGGGGACAGGGTGGGGTGGGATGGGGTGCTGGCTGCAGGGAGGGGCCGGCGGGAAGGCTGGGGTCTGTGAAATGGGTACGCACACCCCAAATGTGGCGCTTCCTCACGTGCCTGCCTCCCCCAGCAGGGCCGGCTCCCAGGCTTCAGGGTCAAGTACGTCTTCCTTGTCTGGCTGGGCGTCTTTGCGGGCAGCTGGTTGGTGTACGTGCACTACTCATCCTACGTGGAGCTCTGCCGCGGGCACGTCTGCCAGGTGGTCATCGTAAGTGTCGCCTCAGCCGGGCTCGTGAGCAGATGGGGGGTGGCAGGCCCTGCGCTCCTTCCTGCCCAGTGCCCACACTCAGGCCATGGGCCACCAGGAGATTTGGCTCTCGATCCTCAGAGGCGCCTGGGCAGTGATTTTAAGGTGGATCCTATTGCGCTGTGCAGAGCCGCCTCTGGCTGGGTGTGGAGATTCGGGGGTGGCGGGGAGGAAGGGGGAGACGTGGGCAGGCTGCTGCAGGTGCCCAGGAGAGCGGGCGGCTGGGGAAGGACAGACGGGGTGGGCTCCAGAGATGTTTGGAGGGAGGAAGTTTTAGAGCGAGACTGGGACGGGGAAAGGTTGGTGGCCTTGAGGGCCCCTCCTGGGGCCAGGGGTCCACAAAGGAGGCTGCAGGGCGTGGTCCTCGGAGCCTCCTGCCTGGGGGACAGTGCTAAAGTTGCTGCCCGCCGCGGCCTCTTGAGAGAGGATATGCGTGTGTGAGGGTGCAGGTGTGGTGTGTGCGTGCACGTGCTCATCCGTGTGCGTGTATGTGCACAGCGCGTTGACTCCGTGCTTCTGTTGATGCCCTGTGACTCTGGCTGGAGGGAGGGGCCACGGCAGCCCAAGGGTCTCCTGCAAACCCCAGGCTCTTTCTGATCCCACCTGCCACCCTGCCTGGCCCTCCTGGGCCAGCTAGCGAGCAGGGTTCTGATGCCTGCGCTCCACTCGGGGGCGGGCTGGGAGGGCCTCCCTGGTAGCAGCAGGAGCTCCTGGGTCTCGAGCTGGGAACCGTGGGGTAGAGACTCTGGGAGACCCCGGCCTTGAACCTGCCTCTTCTTGCCCCCCACCAGCTGGGCGGCCTGGAGCTGCTTCTCTTCCTCTGTAAGGTGACGAGGGATCTCTCCTGGGGGCTGTGTGGTGACTGAAGCCGGCCCTGGACGAGCTCAGGCAGGCCTGCTCTGGCCAAGGTCCCACAGGGGCCAAATCTGGGAAAGTCTGGAGGTGGCGGTGGGGAGGGGCATGGGGTCCGGAGCAGGAGAGCCCATGTGATGGGACCTGCAAGGGTCCAGGTGGCATCTGAGTGTCTGATTTTTGGCTAAGTAACTCCTGGGGGCCGGGCCAGCACTGGGCACTGAGGACGCAGTGCCCACGCCGAGGGGGAAGAGGCCTTCAGGCCTCCTGACTGTTCCTGGGCATGAGTGTTCGTTCCAGAAATGCTCACTGGTGGCCTTCAGGGGCCAGGCCTGAGCTGGGCGGGGACACATGGCCCTGCCTTCACAGTCCAGAATACACGAGGGCAGACGTGCGTGGGGAGGGAGCCCATATGGGGATGGGGAGGTCCAGGATGGGCCAGGGCAGCCAGGGGTGAGCAGCAGCGGCTGGCCTGAGGGCCATGGGGAGCAGGTGAGGGTTGTAGAGAGCAGCACTGTGAGCCGACATGCCATTGGAGTGACGGCCGGGGCTGGAGGGGCCTATGGGGCAGCGAGACCTGGGAGGAAGCAAGAGCCGGCAGGTGCAGTGAGCAGATGATCAGAGCATTGACAGAAGGTTCTGAGCCTCTCGTGTGTGCCGGCAGCAGCCCCTCAAGATGCAGAGGACACTGGGGGAGCAGAGGAGAAATAGGCTCCTCCTAACAAGAGGAAACCACAGCTTCCGTTTTCCCAGGGTGCCTTGGCCTTCCGGCCAGCGGGGGTGTCCCCGGGCTGCTGGGAGCCTTTCCGGAGGTCATTGCCAAGCCCAGCTCTCCTGAGGCCTGTCCCTGGGGCCATGGGGACACCCCTCCTTTCCAGAGGAGAACTACTCGCCTCATGGGGGGCATCAGCCGTCTCAGAGAGGTTCCACAGCTTGTCTAAGGCCACACAGCAGGGGGTGGGGGCCAGGGCCAGGGGTCACAGCTCAGGGGCTCACAGGCCTGGGGGGCTCGGCCCGGAGCCGCACATTGAGTCCCCACCGTGGCCCACTCTGCAGACAGGAAACAGGCTGTGAGGTGAGGCAACTTGCCCGGAGCCTGATGGGCTGCAGGAGCCCTGAAGCCTCAGCCTCTGAGGAAGCCCCTTCCCCAGCCCTGGTGGGCAGCGTGGCAGGCGCTGGCTGGGGGCTGGCCGGGCGGAAGTGTGCGCCTGAGCAGAGCAGCCCGCCCGCCCACATTCCCTGCAGCTCCGCAGGGTTTTTGGGGGGCTCAGAGCAGACCCTTTGTGGTGGAGGGCCTCCTTACCAGGTGGTGGAATGGAAGGGCGTGGTTTTTCCTAGTTTTCCTTTACCCTCTTGACCAACGGCTGTCATTCTCATGATGCCACAGCACAGACGCCTCCTTCCCGGCTCACACTGCTGAGTCCAGGGCCTCTTGGTGGCTCAGTCTCCTTTCTGTCCCTGCCCTGGTGTTGGGGAGGCCCTGACTCCCTGCCCTCCCTCCTCCCCACGCTTGGGTGGTGCCATGTTCTACACGCTCCCTTCTCTCTCATTCCTCCAACCCTGGCTCCACCAAGGGCCTGAGCTCCATGGCAACGGCATCCATGGCACCCAGGCATTCACCCCACAGTCGCTGCAGACGGCCACAACCCCCCACCCGGAGGGAAGGGCCTGACTCCATCACCTCCCGCTTCCCTCGCTTCCTGCTCGGGTCAGCCCAGACCCCCGGGATGCGGGGGGCTGCAAGGCCCTGTCTAGAGCTGCGGAAAGGGCCAGGGGGTGGGGGTGGGGCGGCAGCTACTCTGATCCCGACCTAATTAGTGCTGAAAGCTTCTCCCTGTGCGTCTGGCTAATAAGGGGGCCCGGCGGGGGGCAGGACGAGCCTGAGGTGACAGACAGCCCTGGTGACAGCCCCGTGCCCATGACAGAGGGGCTGGGAGGAGCCTCCCCATCTCGCAGGGGGAGGTCGAGGCAGCTCGACCGCATGGCCCAGCTGGCAAGCTCCCCGGCAGAAGCCGAAGCGGGTGGTGCCCTGTGGACTGTCGGCTGCGGCCCCGGGCGTCTACACCGCGCACTTGGAGTGGGGTGGTGGGCACATCGCGTCACAGGCTCTGCTGCACCTGCTTCCGTCCACAAGGAAGGGCTGGGCTGGACACAGACAGAGACCAAGCCAGGGAGAACTGGGCCCCCGCTCAGGAGCAGTTGTGCCGACGAGAAGCTTGGCATTTCGCAGGACGATGGGGACGGGTCGGTGGGCGAGCCGCTGACTCAGGGAGGGGCTGGTGGGCTTTCGGACCGCAGTGAGCGTGGGCCCCTGCCAGCCGGCAGGTGCCCGGGCCTCCGGGGTGGCTCAGCTGTGGCCGGAGTGTGCCTGGTGACGGGCTGCAGCCGCCTGGGAGCCCCTCTGAGAAGTGGCGTGGCCTGAGACCCAGGGGGCGGCTGGCAGATGTGACGTGGGCCTCAGCCTGCCCGGCCAGGGGTGCAACATGTAAGGGTGGGGGGAGGGAGGCGAGGGGAGGAGCCCCTGAGCCCCGGCCTCCCCGGGCCACTTCCTGGCATCCTCGTCCTCTCAGTGTGACCAGTACCGCAAGGGCATCATCTCGGGCTCCATCTGCCAGGACCTGTGCAACCTGCACAGGGTGGAGTGGAGGACCTGCCTCTCCTCCGTCCCCGGCCAGCAGGTAAGCCCAGTGGGGTCGGGCTGGGGTCGGGCCCCAGGGCCGTGCCGGGAGAGCCTCCCTCCCTGTGTCTGGGGGCCCGGGGCTCAGATGCCGAGGTGCAGTGAGAGGGGACATCTGCACGGAGGATCCCTGTGGCCCCGTCCAGGTGTACAGCGGGCTCTGGCAGGGCAAGGAGGTGACCATCAAGTGTGGCATTGAGGAGAGCCTGAACTCCAAGGCCGGGTCGGAGGTGGCCCCCCAGCGGGAGCTGGTGCTGTTTGACAAGCCCACGCGGGGCACCTCGATTAAGGAGTTCCGGGAGATGACCCTTGGCTTTCTCAAGGTCAGTCGGCTCTCCTGGGGGCTGTGTCGAGCTCACACCCAGGGACGTGTGCACAGGGCGGGAGGCAGGGTGGGTGGGGGCCATACAGCCAGCCAGATGCCTGGCTAGCCTCCCCGGCTCCAAGCAGACCCTCACTTGGGGAACACCCACTCTGTGTGGAGGACCCCGCCCCAGGGGCCATGTGTCGGGGAGAGCAGGGATGTGAGGTGGGAGATGAGAAGTGATGGGTCCCACCCAGAGTGCCCACCCCCAGGCTCCCGGGCACTGGTGGAGACGCAGGGACACAAAGGCCCCGGGAGGGAGCAGCTCCAGGAAAGACGCAGGTAGGTGGGTGGTCAGGGCGGGCTTCTAGGAGACGCAGGGGCCTCCCATGTCCCTGGTTATCCCTCCAACCCCTGTGCGGGGTCTGAGGAGCACATCAAGGCTGGCATCCTGCCCCCTTAGAAGCGCCCAAGGTCGTGCTCTCATGGGCTCTGAAACGATTGGTCCCCCGCTCTTCTGGTCCCAAACAGGCGAACCTGGGTGACCTGCCCTCGCTGCCAGCCCTGGTGGGGCAGGTCCTGCTCATGGCAGACTTCAACCAGGACAGCAGGGTGTCGCTGGCCGAGGCCAAGTCGGTGTGGGCCCTGCTGCAGAGGAACGAGTTTCTGCTGCTGCTGTCACTGCAGGAGAAGGAGCACGCCTCCAGGCTGCTGGGCTACTGCGGGGACCTCTACGTCACCGAGGGCATCCCGCACGGCTCCTGGCACAGCGCCGCGCTCCCGCCCCTGCTGCGCCCGCTGCTGCCGCCTGCCCTGCTCGGCGCCCTGCAGCAGTGGCTGGGGCCCGCGTGGCCGTGGCGGGCCAGGATCGCCATCGGCCTGCTGGAGTTCGTGGAGGAACTCTTCCACAGCTCCTACGGGACCTTCTACATGTGCGAGACCACGCTGGCCAACGTGGGCTACACGGCCAAGTACGACTTCAAGATGGCTGACCTGCAGCAGGTGGCGCCCGAGGCCGCCGTGCGCCGCTTCCTGCAGGGCCGCCACTGCGAGCACAGCTCGGACTGCACCTACGGGCACGACTGCAGGGCGCCCTGCGACCAGCTCATGCGGCAGTGCAAGGGCGACCTCCTGCAGCCCAACCTCGCCAAGGTGTGCGAGCTGCTGCGGGACTACCTGCTGCCCGGCGCTCCCGCCGACCTGCGCGAGGAGCTGGGCAGGCAGCTGCGCACCTGCACCACGCTGAGCGGGCTGGCCAGCCAGGTGGAGGCGCACCACTCGCTGGTGCTGAGCCACCTCAAGACCCTGCTCTGGAAGAAGATCTCCCACACCAAGTACTCCTGAGGGGCGGCCCCCCCGCCCCCCCCCACACACACACGAGGGGCCGCCTGTGGCCCCAGGGTGGTCTTCCTCTTTCCCCCTGCCACCCTACAAAGGACAGGGCTGCCGGAATGAGCGCCCCGGGCTGCACCAGAGCTCAGGCAGCTGCGTAGGTTCCTTGGCGCCCCCCCCCCCCCCCCCCCCGTGTTTTCCAGGCTCTCTAGGCCCCAACCATCCAGCCAGACGACCATTTAGCTGGAACAGGAGAGGCTGGAAGGGGAAAGGGCAGGAAGGAGGACCTGGAGCCTGACCACCAAGGGCTGGCTGAGGGACCCACCCAGGCCAAGTTGGGTTTTGTTACTTTGAATATAGGATTATAAATAAATAGCTTTTCTGTGACTACTTGAGTTCCCCTCACCCCACTCTGGACCCCTGCCCCCTAGACCACCCATCAGCCACTTGGGCTCAGAAGTGGGGGGCTGCCCCCCTCCAGTCTGGACAGAAGATGCAGCGTGCAGCCGTCAGGGGCACAGTCTGCTGCAGGAGGCCTCAGCGGGCAGTGACAGGTCTCCTAGGGCCTGCCGGGCCCTCCGCAAACTCCTAGAGCCACATTCTGGTGGCTGCATGGTTAACGGAGACAAGGGGGCAGCGAGGGGGTGCTGGAAGCCCATCTTCCTCTCTGGTTTCTGAAGTCTCCGAGGACCAGCCCCCAAAGCTGGGTTATGGCATGGTTCCTGAAGGTCGTGGACCCCACGCAAGAGGTGCTGGAGTAACAAGCGGTGAAGCACGGCTTTACTCAGCTATTTACAAGACCTTCGACTTCTACATTACAAACTTCCTCCTCTGATGCTTGGTGCACAAAATAATGCAGCCTCAGTCTAGGAATTCGTTTTTAACTCGTTTTAATGACCCACTAGATGTAAAACCCATTATCTGCGAGAGCCAAGCATCTGGTTTTCTTTGTCCCACCCTCCCCAACAAGAAGCTGTGTGCCCAGGAGCCTCTGAGCCCTTCTCCCCCCCGGGGCGGGGGGGGGGCACGGGACGCGACACCAGCAAGCACACACACACCTTCTCGTGTTCAGGCCCCAGCTAATCAGACTATGAAGAAAAAGCAAGTTGAGATACAATTTATTCAAGATCAATTTATTCTCGTGTTGCCAACACTTTCCTTGAAGAAAAAGGCATTAAACAAATCCTTGAATTCATCTTAACACCTTTTGCTTAAAATGTTCCAAAATTTCAACTATAATATCCATATTCTTAGCACTAAAATCTTTTTCCATCTAGATTTTTTCCCTCTTTTGGGGGGAAGATAATCCAAGCACAATAAAAAACAGTTTAGGACCATGGGCTCAGGGCAGTTCAAAAACTGTGCGCCAAAAGATCACACATCCCAGGATGCCGTGATGGCAGGAGGATTTAAGAATCAGGGCATTGAGATGAGGGGTGCTGGGCAACCCTGCAGCTTAGAGCCCCCTCGTCCTCCGCCTACGACAGATGGTGCACATGCAGGGTAGCCGCTGTCCCTTGTCCCTGGGAGCTGCTCTGCAGGGACACTGCTGTCAGCCACTCGTCTCCCTCCAAAAGCAGAGCTGAGTCCACAGCTGCCTTTGGGCGCCTTCTGAAAACAACCACGTTTATGGAAAGCAGAGCCCTGGGCCCCAGCACATCTTGTCCTCTTCACCATGCTGCTGTCGCTTTTAGTTTCCCTTGTTTTTTGGATTCCCAACTGTCTGCTAACACTTCTTTCTGCAAATCCCTCTCACAGCACACCAACATTCCACACAAAATTATTTCATAAGCCTACGGATTCTTTCTCCTCGGAGGACACTTCTCAAGGCCGTGATTTTCCCACTTCTCTCCGACGTGCCCCCGCAGCAGAGTGCCAGGGCCCCAGCATTTACAAGCTGCATCCTCTCTGCTCTCTGGTGCCCTCCTGGAGGACCGAGGAACGTCCGTGGCTGATCCAGCAGGTTGCCCACCTGTATGGACGCAGAAAACCGGCCACTTGAGATGACCCACCGGCAGCGCCTCTGGTGCTGGATCACAGCCCTCCCTCCTGGTCAAGCCTCCTGACCTCAGGACAGCAGAGCAGAAAGGTTTCTGGAGTGCAAAGACATGGCTGCTGAAGCCACCTCAGTCTTCTCCCCCAAACATGCCAAGCCCAGCTCCCCCTCTTCTGAACATTCCACTCACCACCCGGTTTCATGTCACAAACGAACAGACACAGCCTTGTGCACGTTCAAGGACAGAAAAGAAATCCTCAACTCTAAGAAAATGTGACACCCTGTAGCAATCTTCCGTCTGAAACAAGGTTCTACCCAATTACCAACTAGGAGGGGCCGGCAAACCCAGCCCGAGCCCATTCTGCATCCTCAACTTGCGGCCTCCTCCCCACACTGAGCTGGCTGCCGGGCTCAAAGGCGGATGTGCCCGCCCTCCCCTCGTCCTCTCTGGTGGTCAAGCCCACTTCCTTCCTGCAATCCCATCATCACCCCAGCTGCACCCGTCACCCGTAGAGAAGACACGGAAAACTCAAGTGCACAACACGAGGGAAGGCGGGCAAGACCTCGAGCGGCTGCTCAGCGGCAGCGAGGAGCCGCAAGTTCAAGGGGATCCTTCTCGTAAAAGAGCCACAGCCGTCCAGGAGGTGGCTTAAGGACCACGGGACGAAGGCTAACACTACATCCCACCACGCCAGCACTGGGTGGGCAGCTCCTCCCCGCCCCGTGTTCACCTGGTGGGTGCTCACCTCCCACGCCGCATCAGGGCTGGCCAGTGACCACAGGACCCGGCGTGAGTGATGACGTCCCTTCCCAGGCTGGCTTATGCCCACGCTGGGGGAAGCCAGCTGCCACGTCGTGAGGACCCTCGGCCTCCTGCCCACAGCCAGAGCACGCCATCTTGGAAGCGGCTCTTCCTGCCCCGGTCAAGCCTTCAGATGCTGCAGCCCCCAGAGAAATCCTGCCCGAACCACCGCGTCAGGCCACTCCTGACCACAGAAACAGTAAGGTAATCAATTTTGTCATGGTTAATTTGTGACGCAGCAGTAGGTAACTAACACACCACCTAACAGGCAAGGTCTCCGAGGTCAGGTGACAAGCTGGCCTGCCTCACCACAACACGTAAGCTTTGCCACCACCCAGCTCTGCTCACTGAGGTCGTGGGTGGCTTTCGCTATCAGCTCCTGAAACGCTGCCAACACTGAAATATCACCTCTCCTCTCAAAGGCACGGCCACCAGGCCAGGCAGCCGAGAGGGGCTTTCACCCAAGGGCCGCCTGCTGCACCCTGACATGAGGCACGAGCCCTGCACACAGAGGGTGCCTCAGAACCGCTCCCTGCACTTTCCACACCCATTTTGCTGGGCCTGGACTTTGGAGATGCTGCTGCAGAGCGCAGACAACAGGACAGCCGCAGACAAGCCTCTCCCAGAGCAGTCTGGAGGGCAGCACGGAGAGCACACACCACCCGCCTCGGGTGGCAGGGCCTCGGGGCAGACCCTTGGCAGTCCATCCCATTCGCCCTTCCCCAGATTCAAAGGCTCATCGTCATTTTCCAGGTGGCCAATCAGCTGATGACCCCCCACGACCCCTGCCCCGCCCACAATGAGGATAATTTCATACACCACACCCAGCTAGATTCTGGCAAACCGGTGTCCACCACGAGGGTCCAGGAGTTCTGTCAGACCCCCAGCCAGCCGCCCACCTCCCAACTTACCTGTCCTGAAGCGAGGCCTGGCGTCCATCTGTAGGTCTGTTCCACTGGCCACCCTCACAGCACACAGCTGGGCCCCACCGTTCCTGGGCCTCTGGATCTGAGAAATGACAGAGAATGGTAGACCAGACCAGGCATTCTTGCCTTTAACCTGGATTCCCCAAACAGGCTTCGGAGAATCCAATCCGGGGATCCCAAAACTGTACGTGAAGTTACGTTTTCTGGTGAGATTCTACAGCAAAGTTTGCCACCCTCAGCATTGTCGACACCTGAGGCCCCGTAGTTCTACTGCAGGGGCCGCCGTCCTGTGTGCTGCAGGATGGGCAGCAGCAGCCCTCATTCCTGCCCATCTATCTTCAGGCATTGCCACGCCCTGGGAGCGGCACACAGATGCCCCTGGTTGAGAACCACTGATTGACAGCTCTCGTTCAACCCTCAACTTAAATGTTTTAGAAAATAAAAGCAAAACGTCTATTTTTTTAATTTAACATCAATGACTTTCTCACCCTGAGCAAATGGTCCCAGATCTCTCCATCTGCAAGGGGGCCACGACAGCCCTGGCTACACTGGCCATCCCACTGGGGTTACAAGAACAGCCCCTTCACTCCCCAGTGCCCTGGTCTGGACGACCGTCTGTCAAGTTACAGTCGGTCCACTGAGGGGCTCCACACAGGGGCCCTGACCTCTGTCTCAGCAACAGAACAAGTGCCAGGAGGGGACCTTTGGCCTTCCTCCCAGTTCCCAAACGGACCAAACCATCTCCTTGAAGTGCTCTGCTTGTCTCAAGGGTCTTTATGGCACGGATGTTCCTGGGCTAGGCAGCTCAAGACCCCTGCCCCATCCCCCACTGGCTCTGTGAACAGGGCCCAGTGGCCTCCACGAGAAGTGACAATGCCAGACAGGACGTAGGCCATTCACACGAATGCCTCGGTTCTCAGCCAGGGATGCACGTCACACCCGCCCAAGGACTTACTAATAAGTTCTTCCCAGACAGACCTACAGAATTATCATTCCTGGAAAGAGACCCTCTCCTGGTCAAGCCCATTGTGCCAAAAGCTTGCCAGGTGCTTACACACACACACACCTCATTTAATCGTCACGACAAGCCTCATTTCACAGATAAAGAAACAGACTCAGAGTGTTCAGGGCAAGAGTGTTCAGGGTCTTGCCCGGGTTCCCAGCTGTAAGCACGCATGAGCACACCACCTGGCGGCAGTTCTGGGGAATGTCAGGCTACAAACCATTCTTAGTGCTCACTGTTCTGAGCACTGAGCGTAGAAATAGCCACTTCCTCTTTGCCCTGAGGTCACAGGTGCCGCAGAGCAGCT